TAAAGACACAATAATTTAATTCAATCTTCTCTTATTTAGCTTACTTTAAAAAAAGAAGTAAATTGCCATTTTATACTTCCATTAGAACCAAGATTGACGATAACATAATTAGTAAGTAAATTAAAATGAATATCTGCATAATGTTGGAAACTAAAAAGTGATATGAAAGTAACAATTTGTAAATAAATTAAAATGTATAATATCTTTATAAAAATAAAAACATAAAGTAATATTATGACTAAATAATTTGTCACTAGCTAGATAAAGATATCAACCAAACTATTCTACACTACATGATAATGAGTGAATGAGACTAAGTTTACCAATAATGTTTTGACACTGTGGAGGCTGAGCATCCCATTGGCCATCCTCAGCACACCTGACCCTGGCTGAGCCAACCAGAGTAAACTCTCCAACACAGCCAAACTCAACAACATCTCCTACAACAAATGGACCTTCCTCAGTGGACACAATTCTCCCATTTTCTGGAACCTCCATCAATGAGCTACATTCTTTAACTAGATCCAAAATAATTCATGTTTAGATATTCAGGCTGACTAGATAAAAGAATAATTATTGTAATTAAATATTAAATATCATTGGTCCACAGAAATTTTAACTGGGGTAGTCTAACAATCTTGACAATGTTTTTTGCTAACAGTGCTGGTAAATGTAACCTTGAAATAAAGTGATTTCAAATGGATAAAATAGGCCTAATGCTTTGTATAAATATGTTCACACAGTGGGTATGTCTCTATACTTTAGTACATTCAAGAGCTGTAAACACTTAGATAATACATTTTATATTAACATTTGGAAATTTAGTCTTACCTTTGCAGTCGAAGACAACTTTTGACCAAGCTCTGTCAGCGCCACAGGTGCTTATTGACGAACCAATCAAATCAAATCCAGGATTACACTTGTATTCAACAGACTGGTTGTAGGTGAACTTTGACCCTTCAAATGAAGACAGCTCATAAACAGGTGGAGGACCACAGGAAACAGGGGAACAGGTGGGAGGGTCATCTGTGGACCACTGACCTAGGTGGTCACACATGACTGAACTAGCACCTGTCAGTGTGTAGCCCAGGTTACAAGTGTACCTGGCAAGTGACGTGTAGGTGTCACCGGTAGTGACGAAAGTTCCAAAAGCTACAGCAGCTGGGGGGTCATAGCAGACGACAATCTCACAGGAGGGGATCTTGCCGTACCAGTCCCCATCTTCACCGCAAGTGATCGTTATCTCATTGTCTCTATCATTGACCATCCGGTAGCCTTTGATGCAAGAGTAGGTAACTTTAGCGTTGATGCCCCTGCCTGTGTCAGAGGTCACAACAGAATGTGCGATGGCTGGAGGTGCTGCGCAGCTGATGCGCTTGCAAACTGGCAGCTCTGCAGACCAGGTACCATTCTCATGGCAGGTAATGGTCGTCACACCCTCGTGAATAAACCCAGTGGAGCAGAAGTATTCCACATCAACATTCAGGTGAGTGTTCCTGTTCAGGTAATAGCCATTTGGTATGTCTGGTGCAGGTGGGCAGACGATGGTGTCACAAACTGGCATCTGCCCCTGCCACCTGCCATCCTCCCCACACACCATGCTGCCAGTGCCAGACATATTGTGCCCGGGCAGACACTGGTAAGTGGCCACAGACCCCACGGTCAGTGCAGGGTAATTGACACTCCCATTGGCTAGATCCCTAGGGGTGGGACACACTACCAGCTCACACCGAGGCTTGTCCTGAAAAGTCCAGCTCCCTGTCGCCTGACACACAGCTACCCCTATACCAACCAGCCTGTAGCCTTTACTGCAGGTATAACTGGCTAGGGACAAGTAAGTTGTTTTGTTAGCCCTCACATACCCATGCTGTATCTCAGGGGGATTGTTGCAGTCAACTATATCACAAGATGATTCTGAGATGTTCCACATCCCTTCTTCATTGCATATGATGTGACTGTTTCCTCGTAGTCTGTACCCATTGTGACATATAATTGTTCCAGTTGATCCAAAACTTATTCCTGAATGGGTTATAACGCCATTTTCAAAGTTTCCTGGAAGGGAGCAATTTTTAGGCCAGCACTGTGGTGGAGTGCTGGACCAACTTCCTCTTTGGTCACAAATAGCTGAACTTTGACCTGTCATGGTGTAGCCAGGGTCGCATGTAAACAATATGGTTGACTGGTAGTCCAAACCTGTGTAGGTGAAGTTCAAGTTTGGTCCAACTGCGGGTAAGGCACAGTGGACTATCACACAAGACGGGACAGCATCAACCCAGTGGCCAGACTCATCGCAGGTGAGGTCGTTGCTCCCTGTCATGTTGTAGCCAGGTTTGCAGGTGTAAACGGCTTTGTTCTTCAAGGTTGTGTTGGTGTAGGTGACGTCACCAAACTGAATAGATGGCGGTATCCCACAGTCCACTGGGTTACACTTGGGAGGTTTAGCTGACCAGCGTCCAACATCTGAACACTCCAACACATTATCCCCCACCAGAGTGTGGCCAGCAGCACACATATAGATGGCCTTGGCCTCGTATGTTGTGCTGTTGAACACAGGCTGGCCATGTTGTATAGCAGGAGGAGACTGACAGTCCACAGGTAAACATGCATGAGACTCACTCCACTGCCCAGTCTCTGTGCATGTGGTTGAACTCTGACCTGTTTGAACATAACCTTTCTCACAGCTGTAGAACACTTCAGCTCCAAACTTGGTCCCTGACTTCTGGTACCGCCCGTGTGTAAGCGCAGGGGGGTCACCACAGTCCACAGGCTGACAATCAATTCTCTCCCCTTCCCAAAGTTTAGCAGCACTGCATGTCAGGGTGGATGTGGGCACAGTGCTGGTGTAGCCGGCGTGGCAGCTGTAGGTAGCTGTTGCCAGGTACTGTGTTAGGTTGTTGACTAGTGAAACTGTGGCATGTGGGAGGCTTGGTGGGTTCCCACAGACGATGATGCTGCACTGTGGCTGCTCCCCGACCCAAGCTCCTGCCTCACCACACTCTAGGAGAGAATTGTTGACCAGCTGATAGCCAACATCGCAGGAATACACTGCAACATCTTGGTAATGGGTACCATTGTGCTGGAACTTGCCGTTGTCAATGTTTGGTGGGAGCTGGCAGTCCATGGGAGAACATTTGGGGTGTTCCTGCCCCCAGGTGCCATCTGCCTCACAGACTAGAGAACTGGCCCCCATCATGAAGTAGCCCCTGACACATGTGTAGACAGCAACACTACCCAGAGTTGTCTCCTCTGCTGAAACATCGCTATACAGAACCTCAGGCGGGCTCAGGCAGTCCACAGGGGCACATACAAAACTGGGATGTACTGTCCAAGTGCGGTCAGCACTGCAGGACATACCAGGGTCACCTTTTGGAACATAGCCTGACCTACAAGTGACCAATGCCAGGCTCTTGAAGGTGGTGGTGTCAGCAGTCACATCAGCATTAGGTAACTGAGGGGGCGGCCCGCAGTCTACCTCTCTACACGAAGGTAACGTGCCCATCCACTCATTGGAAGGGCCACAGGTTAACACATTGTTACCCACAACATCATAGCCAGGCTTGCACCTGTAGGTTATACTATCCCCCTGTCTGAAGCTATCCCCTTCAGTGTAGGCGTTGTCTACCAGAGGTGGTACAGCACAAGCCAGCAGCACACACTTAGGGAAAGCTTCCACAAAGTTCCTATCAGAGCCACAGGTCAGCTTTGAGTTTCCAATCAGGCCATATCCTTCTATGCAAGTCACTGTGATGGTGCTACCATATGTGGTGCTAGTGTTTGACAACTCTGCATTCTCTATTCCTGTGGGGATTGAACACGAGACAGGCACACACTTAGTGTTGGTGACTGACCAGGTACCATCAGCATTACACTGACTGAGTCCTTCACCCAACACCTCGTACCCCTCATTACAGGTAAAAGCCACTGTATCACCATAGACATACTCCAAACTCCCATTGTCTGTGGCAAAACTTGATCTCTGCCTTATTTCAATAGATCCATCTTCTACTGTTAATGTTGGACAGGCTACAACTTTACAGACTGGCAGAGTTGTGTTCCAGTTGCCTGTCTCCTCACAAGTCAAAGTCTGGCTGCCTGTAAGTCTGAACCCAGTGTCACAGGTAAAACTCACCTCTGACAGGTAGGTGAAGTTGCTGCCTTGTACAGTTCCATACTGGATGCTGGTGATAGAGCTACAGTTGACTGGGTCACAGCTGACCAGCTCATCTGACCAGTTCCCTCCAGCACCACAGGTTCTGTGGTTGATGCCCACAAGCCTGTAGCCTATGTTACACGTTAGGGTGACCACATCTGTATAGAGGTAAGAGTCTCCAAGAACAAGGCCATTTTTCAGGGCAGGTGGGGCACCACATGATATTCTCTCACAGACAGGTGACAGGTGACTCCAGGTCTGAGAGGACAGACAGGTGTGTTGGCTCTCACCTACAAGTGTGTAGCCAGGATCACACATGTAGGTGATTGTGTCATTAAACAGGTAAGATTCACCGGTGTAGGACCCATTTAATATAGGTGTAGGATTTGGGCAGGCAAGTCTAATACACCTGGGTACATCCCCCTCCCAGGTACCATTTGCTGCACAGACAACAGAATCAGCTCCTTGCATGTAAAACCCCTCCATGCAGGTGTATGTGGCACGGCTAGCTAGGGTTGTGTTAGCTGCTGACACCTCCCCATACAGAAGCTCTGGTGGCTGCAGGCAGTCCACAGGAGCACACCTCAAACTGGGATCAAACTGAAAGGTACGGTCAGCCATGCAAGTCATTGAAGGCGCACCTTCCACAACATAACCTGCCTGACATGTCACGGTGATGATTTCCCCATATGTAGGTGGCCTATACAACACCTCAGCATTTGTGATTCCTGTGTCAGTTGGGCATACAACAGGCACACACTTTGTGTTGGTGACTGACCAGGTACCATCAGCATTACACTGACTGAGTCCTGCACCCAACACCTCGTACCCCTCATTACAGGTAAAAGCCACTGTATCACCATAGACAAACTCCAAACTCCCATTGTCTGTGGCAAAACTTGATCTCTGCCTTATTTCAATAGATCCATCTTCTACTGTTAATGTCTGACAGGCTACAACCTTACAGACTGGCAGAGTTGTGTTCCAGTTGCCTGTCTCCTCACAAGTCAAAGTCTGGCTGCCTGTAAGTCTGAACCCAGTGTCACAGGTAAAACTCACCTCTGACAGGTAGGTGAAGTTGTTGCCTTGTACAGTTCCATACTGGATGCTGGTGATAGAGCTACAGTTGACTGGGTCACAGCTGACCAGCTCATCTGACCACTGACCAGACTGTAGACATACTTTATCACCTAAACCCTTCATTATATAGCCCGTCTCACACTGGTAAGACACAGTAGATAGCACTGGGTACTGATCCATGCTGTTCTGTTTAAGTCTTGCATGATTGACTTCAGGTAGAGAAGGACAGAAGACAGGCTCGCACAAATTGTCCTCATCTGACCATTCCTGACCGCCTGTCCACTTGCCTTCAGCCCCACAGGTCCTGTGGTTGATGCCCACAAGTCTGTAGCCTATGTTACATGTTAGAGTGACCACATCTGTATAGAGGTAAGAGTCTCCAAGAACAAGGCCATTTTTCAGGGCGGGTGGGGCACCACATGATATTCTCTCACAGACAGGTGGCAGGTGACTCCAGGTCTGGGAGGACAGACAGGTGTGTTGGCTCTCACCTACAAGTGTGTAGCCAGGATCACACGTGTAGGTGATTTTGTCATTAAACAGGTAAGATTCACCGGTGAAGGACCCATGTATTAAGGGCGCTGGAGTCGGGCATGCAAGTCTAATACAGGTGGGGACTGTTCCTCCCCAGGTACCATTCTCCAGACATGGCCTGAAGACTTCACCTTGTAGCTTGAACCCAGGCAAACAGGTGTACTCAACCCCATCACCAAACTCAAATCCTCCTGTCAGGTTCCCATGTTCAAACGGCTCAGGTGGGGCATTACACGAGACAGGAGCACAAACTGGCTCCTCGTTGCTCCAGCTCCTGTCTGACTGGCACTCTCTCACTGCCTGCCCTTCCAGCACATACCCTGCCTCACAAACATACCTGATGGCCTGTCCAAAGGTGTAGTTGCTTCCCTCAATGTTCCCATATTCCACTGAGGTTGGGGCGTCACACACAACAGCCACACAGCTTGGAGCACTACCACTCCATACTCCTTCAAGCAAACAATCCAAAATTGAGCTGCCAATCAAGTCAAACCCAGGGCTGCATTCGTAGGTCAAGGTCAAGTTTTCATTAGAAAGTGCAAATTTCCCAAACTGAATTTCTTGAGGATCTGGACAAGCAATTCTCAGACAAACAGGTGGGGGTAAATCAAACGCCCCAGATTCAGTACAAGTCAGGGTGCTGGCACCCTTTAATTCATAGCCTTGGTTACAGGCATAAGTGGCGGTGTCTCTATATTCATACCTGGTCTGTAGACTGATCACGTCGCCATTAGCAACAGATGGTGGGCTGGGGCAGGATACAATCTCACACCTGGGCAGCGCTGCTGACCATGAGCCTTGACCTTGGCACTGTGCCTGCTGGGCACCAACCAGAGTGTAGCCAACATTACAAGAAAATCTGGCCACACTGCCATAGCTGGTGGCGTCTGCCTCTACGAGGCCATTCTGTATCTCACCAATAGCTGGACAGTGGATAAGTAAACAAGAAGGGTAAGGGGAGCTCCATTGTGCCTGTGATGTACAGGTTAACTGGGATTCCCCAGAGAGCTGGTAGCCTTCTTCACAGCTGACCGTAACACTAGACCCATAGGTGGCGCTGACCAGCTCAAAGACTCCATGTGGGATGTCCTGTGTGGTGAACACGGGGCAGGACTTGATGGTGCAGGTGAAATTTATGCTGGACCACGTCCTGTTGGCCAGACACGAGCTGTTGCTGTCACCTGATGGGGTGTATCCCTCACTGCAAGAATAGATCACATTGGATTCATAATAGAAGCTGGTGTTTTGGTGTATGAATGCGTGCGCTACAACAGGGGGGGTTCCACAGGAGACTCTGGTACACTCTGGGTCTTCACCGGAGAAGCTGCCGTTTGCCTGGCAGAAGCGTTCGGTGTTTCCTATCAGCTCATAACCATCATCACATACATATGTGATTAATGACCCGTACGAGCTGTCACCAATGTATGCTCCATTGTCAACATACCGAGGCTCTGAGCAAATAGTAGGGACACACAAGGGAGCACTATAGCTCCATTTCCCGTTGATGCCACACGTACGACTGAATTCTCCTTCTACTTCGTAACCTTGTTCACAATTGTAGAAAACTTTAGCACCATATTCTGTGCTATTTCCTTCTATAATTGCATGCTCATTTTTATCAGGAGGTGGGCAAAATATTTGAGTGCATACTGGTGCACTTCCTGACCACTCTCCAGAGGGCAAACACTGCCTGACCCCCTCACCAACAAGCTGGAGCCCTGATGTACACGTGTAATAAGCCCGCCCTTTGACCTCTGTAGTCGTAACACTCACAGTGCCGTTGGGGAAGGTAGGCTCTAGCTCAGGACAGGTGACCTTTGTACACACAGCATCGGTGTTGCTCCAGGTGCCGTCACTCAGACAGGTGATCTGACTGTTCCCCACCAACCTGAAGCCCTCGTTACAAACTATCTGGATGACAGAGTTGTATGTGTAACTGTCTTTGATGAACTCAGCGTCAGGCAGGTTGCCAGGGTTCCCGCAGTCAATGATCTGACACTGAGGTGCTCTCCCCTCCCATTCCCCAGCCAGGGTACAGTTCCTCCTCTCTGATCCCACCAGCTTGTACCCAACATCACACCAATACTTGACATGGTCCCCAAAGTGGTTGCGGGTGTAGTTGACCACCCCATTGTCCATGGCAGCTCCTGACAAATCAGGACAGGTGATGACATTGCAGGTAGGAGCCTCAGGCCTCCAGATCTGGTCTTTGCCACAGACCCTGACAGCTGAGCCCTGTAGTGTGTAGCCTGTAAAACATTTATACTGCAGAGCAGTTTCGTTGAGAGCCACTGTTTCACTGTGGAGAACTGATGGAGGTGGGGTACACAGAATCTTTAAGCAGTGAGGATCAGGCCCACTCCACTGGCCGTTTATGCCACAAGTTCGCTTTACTGGGCCCTCAAGTCTGTAACCCTCCCTGCACGAGTAACCCACCTCAGTTCCAAATGTGCGTGAAGAAGTTGTATAATAACCATGGTCCAGTTTAAAGACTGGACACTCTACTGCTTCACAGCTTGGGATGGGATGATCCCAGGTACCGTTGGCTAGGCATCGCCTGAACTCTGACCCCTCCAGTCTGTAGGCTTCATTGCATTCATATCTGATGACCGACCCAAAAGTGAAGTTTGTTCCAATAGTCCTGCCGTTAGAGATGGTTCTGGAAAGTGAATTACACTCCACGGGAGAACAGACAGGAACCTGTCCAGACCACGACCCACTATCCTGGCATTTAGCTGAGACCTGTCCCCTCAGGATGTAACCTTCATTGCAAGAAAAGGTAGCAACTGAGTTGTAAATAGTGCTGGTCACATTCACCTGACCAAAGTTTAACGTGCCAGGTGATCCACAGTCAACAGGTACACATGTGGGCTTGTTGCCACTTAGGACTGAGGTATCCAGGCACCTCCTCACTGTCTCTCCCTCAAGTTTATACCCTGTTTTACAACTATACCTGTAATACAAATAGGTTAAAATTTATGTAATGATACCATTATTAATACTAATAGTTTCGCTGTCTGTCTATCTGACAAGAACGCTCTGTCTGACAAGAACGCTCTGTCTGACAAGAACGCTCTAGAGAAAACACAAGCAATTTAAAAACATGCACAGTAATTCGAAAAACGAAATATGACGTCGACACATTTAGCGTAGAGTAGAACATAATCTCAAACCAGAGAGTGCACACAGTAATGTAATGACGTCATTGATTCTCGCGTAAACATTGAAAAAAAGGAAATGTTGTCTAATCTAAATGGTTTGCGTGAAGAGTTTCTTGCATACAATTCTTCGGGTAGGGGCGAAGCCCCACCCCCCGCGTAAGAACGTCTGAGCCCCCCCCCTCCCCAACTCAAAAGAAATTTCCTCATCGATACTCTATAATAAAATTACCGCCTAATTAATGTGTCTAATCTAAAAAGTGGTTTTCTTGCAATGGGACGGTAGACATGTTTTTTTTGGGGGGGGGGGGGGGGGGGGGGGGGGGGTGGAGGGGTGGGGGGGGTGTGTGGGGGGGGGTGTGTGGGGGTGGGGAGGGGGTGGGGGTGGTGTGTGGGGGGGTGGGTTGGTTTCAGTGTTTCTTTCAGACTTTTTCCTCCCCGGAGAGGGGTGGGGGTACTTGAAATTTTCGGGGGCGGGGGTAGAATTTTCTGGGAGGGGGCGGACACTGGAAAAAGTATATAATTATATTTCGTTGAATGGGACGGTAGACATGTTTTTTTTTGGGGGTGGGGGGTGGTGGAGGGGTGGGGGGGTGGTGTGTGGGGTGGGGGGTGGGGGGTGGTGTGTGGGGGGGGTGTGTGGGGGGGTGTGGGGTGGTGTGTGGGGGGGTGGGGGGTGGTGTGTGTGGGGGTGGGTTGGTTTCAGTGTTTCTTTCAGACTTTTTCCTCCCCAGAGAGGGGTGGGGGTACTTGAAATTTTCGGGGGCGGGGGTAGAATTTTCTGGGAGGGGGCGGACACTGGAAAAAGTATATAATTATATTTCGTTGAATGGGACGGTAGACATGTTTTTTTTTGGGGGGGTGGGGGGTGGGGGGGGCGGTGTGTGGAGGGGGTGGTGTGTGGGGGTGAGGGGTGGGGGTGGTGTGTGGTGGGGGGTGGGGGTGGTGTGTGGGGGTGGGGTGGGGGTGGTGTGTGGGTGGTGTGTGGGGGGGTGGGTTGGTTTTAGTTTAGAGAAAAGAGACAGCACTATCAGCCTAGCGCCCGTTGTACCCTTCCTCAACGGGCCATTTTTCTCGTAGCTCATAATTATACTAAATATTTTTCAAAACTTGCAAAAAATTATTAATTAATATCTCCATCAACAAGATTTTAAACACTACCTGACAATGGAATTTATAGACAAGTCTTTGTAGGAGGTAGAACCATTCTCCAGATCTTCAGGTTTTGGACAATTAGTTGACTGACAGGTTGGTGACTCAAAGCTCCAAGTGCCATCCAGCTGGCAGATTCTTGTGTCCACCCCGACCAACTTGTAGCCAGTTTTACAGCGGAAGTGAGCACTGCCAGAGAAGGTGTTGGACACGATGGAAACTGAACCTGAAGCACACAGGGAAGGGAAAAAAGGGTTTCTTAATCAAATAAACAGAGAATACCGCTTGCTTTCAGTAAAAAAAAAATGTTTTGTTTGTGAGCCTTGCAGTAGAGGTAGCAGCAGATTTTCATGGGGAAATGGATGGTTATGTAGTGGAATAAGGGCCAACAGAGATATGGGATGGTACTAGTCAGTTAACTATGGACCATCACTGTACACAAGGCAGTAGCCCTACTCACCATCTACTGGTCAGTTAAATCTCTGACCACAAGACAGTAGGTCGACAGCCCAGTTAAATCTCTGACCACAAGACAGTAGGCCTACTCACCATGTACTGGTCAGCTAAATCTCTGACCACAAGACAGTAGGTCTACTCTACAGCCCATTTAAATCTCTGACCACAAGACAGTAGGCCTACTCACCATTTACTGGTCAGTTAAATCTCTTACCACAAGACAGTAGGTTTACTCTACTGCCCAGTTAAATCTCTGACCACAAGACAGTAGGTTTACTCTACTGCCCAGTTAAATCTCTGACCACAAGACAGTAGGTTTACTCTACTGCCCAGTTAAATCTCTGACCACAAGACAGTAGGTTTACTCTACTGCCCAGTTAAATCTCTGACCACAAGACAGTAGGTTTACTCTACTGCCCAGTTAAATCTCTGACCACAAGACAGTAGGTTTACTCTACTGCCCAGTTAAATCTCTGACCACAAGACAGTAGGTTTACTCTACTGCCCAGTTAAATCTCTGACCACAAGACAGTAGGTTTACTCTACTGCCCAGTAAAATCTCTGACCACAAGACAGTAGGTCTACTCTACTGCCCAGTTAAATCTCTGACCACAAGACAGTAGGTCTACTCACCATGTACTGCCCAGTTAAATCTCTGACCACAAGATAGTACCTACCATGTTCGGGGTCATCAATTTGAGGACATGTGATTTTGGTACATTCAGGTGGTGTTGATGACCAGGTGCCATCCTCCAGGCATGTCAGTTGGTCAGTGCCAGTCAGCTTGTAGCCTGTGTTACATGTGTAGTTCACCGTAGCTTTGAAAATAAGCTCAACAGATCTGAAAGTGTCAAGTTTTAACCAGATTGATCCTCACACATTTTGATTTCATTTAACAGTATAAAGTCAATATTTATTTTGCTCAATGAGGTGTTACTAGGATACATATAAAACACAAACAATTTTATAAACCAGAAAAAAACAACTAATTATGGTACACAGAGGTAAATGAATTGTAAAACAAAGAAAAACATGATATAACAACACATTCAATGGTACAAAAATGAACAAAATACGAACAGATAAAATGTAAAAAACCTACGAGGTAAATGACCCAAACAAAATGTCTTGTGGGGTCGGGCAGGAACGTGGAACACATTCAGGTGGATCTGGCACCCATCGACCGGATGCCATGCACGTAATTTCCTGCGCCCCTCTCACTTCAAAGCCCTGATCACACGTGAACCTGGCTGTACTCAGGTAGGTCATGGCTGTGTAAACTACCTGGCCGTTCAATACTGCAGTTAAATTTCCACAAACAACAGGACTGCACACTGGATCCGTGTCACTCCACTGACCATTTTCTTGGCAGACTCTTCGCTCTGGGCCTGTGAGGGTGTAGCCCTGGTTACACTGGTACAGCACGTAATTTTTAAAAACATACGTGTCTCCGTTGATGATCCCATTAGGGATCTCTGCAGGGGCGCCACAGTCAACCTCTGTACACCTGAATCGTGTGCTGCTCCAATCTTTTGTCAACTCACATTTGATTTGAGCAGAAGGTAATGAAGACTTGAAGCCAGGTAAACAGGTGTAGTTAACAACAGCAAAATATGTTCTATCCGTGCCAACACTGACAGCATTAGGTATGAGTGGAGGGTCTGGGCATGTGATGGGGACGCACACAGGCAGCACAGTATCCCAGCTACCAGTAGGCAAGCAACTGATACTTGATATACCAGCTCTGAACTCAAATCCTGTGTTACATTGGTATCTGAAAAACATGGATGGGTTAGACAAACATCAAACAATAAAATAATTTTAAATACTTTTTAGAATTTTTTTTGTTTACACATTGCAGATAGTTTGTAACAAAAAGCACAGTGTTAGAGGCTTTTAAAACAAATGTAGAGATGTATGTGCTTATTCCCATCTATAGCTTTGACAAACTCCTAACATTATGTTTGGGATTAGGTCAGTAGAACACAGACATTATATGTTTAGGAATAGACAAAATAGCACATGACACATAAAAAAAAGCTTGAATTTTAAAAGAAACCATGTTTTCATGTGACCACATGCTAACCCTGCCATTTACAAAAATATAAAAAAGTATGGAGATCTTCAAACCTGACTTTATCCCCTATATTATACTGTGTGTATGTTGTTTGTATTTCTCCATTCTCTATAGTGGGTGGGTTGCTGCAAGTTATTGAGTCACAAGATGGAATACTTCTGTCCCAGGTGCCATCTTTCTGACAGACCACTGAGTTATGTCTGGTCTGTAGGGTATTGCCTGCAACACAATTTATAGGGATTATATCAGTGATCGGGGACGGATTGATCTAGCGGTTGAGAGCTGGACTGCTAACCCGTAAGTGACAAGTTCAAATCTGGGTTCAAGTCAGTAGACCGTCCTCAAGTCCACCCAACTCTGATGGGTACCTTACTCACGTTAGGGAAAGTAAAGGCGGCTGGGCGTAGTGCTGACCACACTACCTCTTCATATGCCGAGGTCACAGAAACAAGTGAACTCTACATCACTAGGCCTTTAGATCGTCAGGTTTGAAAAGGGAACTACTACTACTACTATCAGTGATCTGGTCTGTAGGGTATTGCCAGCAACACAATTTATAGGGATTACAATGATACCGTTTGTAGGATAGGGCTTGAAAAAATTATAGCACAAATAGCCATAATCAAGTTATTAGTAACACATCTTTAAAATAAAACAGCAAAAGATTTTAAAATATTTAATATACTTTAGGGGTATTCTAGAACACCACCATAAGATTAACTTCCAGAAGAATAAAAAGACCGAAAACAAACAGCCAACCCAGGTCTAGGCAAGAGAGTTCATCCATTTAGTTCTAATTACAAATGCTAATTACCAGGTTTGCAAGTGAAGCGTACAGTGGTTCCTTGTTTGACCTCCTCGTCTTGTACAGATGGTATTGTGTTTTCTGACACCTGCGGAAGTGTGCATGTCATAGCTGGAAAGAAAATAAATGGTGCTTTTGTTTTTGTAAATCAGTTTTAAATCTATATCTAGTTAAAATTTTTAGATTAATTTAATCACAAAATGGAACAAAATTTTTTAAAAATTCACACAAAAAAACAACAACATAAACTGTACATAATACAGCAACTTACGAACACATTTAGGCTTTTCCTCAAAATCCCATTCCCCAGATTCAGTGCACACAGAGGCATTTATGCCACTGAGCTTGTAGCCGTAGTTGCATTCAAACATTACTTTTTTGCCAACAGTGTAATCTCTGCCTTTAACAGTTCCAAATTTTATGTTGCCCGGTGAACCACAATTAATTACTGAAAGTACACAAGACAACTTTTTAAAATTTTCTAGAGGAAATATATTATTACAACTGTATAGATTTCTACCAGACAGACACTTCAGAAATACTTAATTTTCTTAATAATCAATCTATTATCACCAAATAACTTTGAAATTGTGTGAGTTAAAAGCAGCTATTGCTTAGAAAATTTACCTGTGCAGATTGGTGTAACCTGGTCATAGCGGCCCATTGAAAGACACCTTGGGACTTCTGTGCGATCCAAATTATATCCTCTGTTGCAGGCATAGACAGCTATTGCGCCAGCCTTTGTGTCATTGAAGGTTACTTCTCCATGGAGTGGATTCACTGGAGTTGGGCATTCTGGAAGAAATAAAATGAAAATGTTCAGAGCAAAATATTGAAAGGTTACATTAGAAACAAAACCCCCCCAAAAAAACAAAGTGGTTGATAGGATAGTTTTTGTGTGTGCTTTTTACAGTAAAATGTGTTCAATAAAATGTAATTTTCTTTTTAATTAAATGTGAATTTCACCAACAATACTGATAGTGTTAGACTGATTACAGCTATAGCTTACAAATGAAATATGTGTAGTGTGGAATTAACATGACCTTACTTGTAACCCTTACCTTTAGAAAATGTGGAAGGGCTGAAGCTAAAGTGATCCTTTCTGATGTTGGAGAGACCTTAAATTTAACCCTTACCTTTACAAAATGGAGATGGACTGATGTTGGAGAGACCTTAAATTTAACCTTAACTACAAAATTAGGATGGACTGATGTTGGAGTGACCTTAAATTTAACCCTTACCTTTACAAAATGTAGATGGACTGATGTTTGAGAGACCTTAAATTTAACCCTTACCTTTACAAAATGTGGATGGACTGATGTTGGAAATACCTTAAATTTAACACTTACCTTTACAAAATGTGGATAGACTGATGTTGGAGTGACCTTAAATTTAACCCTTACCTTTACAAAATGTAGATGGACTGATGTTGGAGAGACCTTAAATTTAACTTACCTTTACAAAATGTAGATGGACTGATGTTGGAAAGACCTTAAATTTAACTTACCTTTACAAAGTGTAGATGGACTGATGTTGGAAAGACCTTAAATTTAACCCTTACCTTTACAAAATGTGGATAGACTGATGTTGGAGAGACCTTAAATTTAACCCTTACCTTTACAAAATGTGGATGGACTGATGCTGATGTCCCCTTTGAAAGCATCCTTCACAGAGGACCAAGCTAAAACATTGCCTTCAAACTTCTCACAGCTGTAGATGAGCTTGTGGACTTCTTGAAGGCTAAGCACTCCATCCCACACATTGAACTGTGTCAGAGAGCCAACAAAAGTCTCACTAGAGCTGAACTGCCCACCCATCACATCCTGCTCTTGTCCAATGATAAACAAACCCTTGCCTGCAGAAAATAAGACTTTAGCTACATTTCTTTTTCAAACAATTCAAAGGTTAACTTGTTTCAATTTTCCCCCACATAAACCAAATTATAGTAGGCCCATATAGTCAGGCTGGTCTGAGTCAATGAACCATATGGCGCATTATGTGTTGGCACATTACAGTGAGTATTTTTTTTAATGGAAAAACAAGAATGGGGAAAATACATAGATTTTTAGCAGATAAATTTCCTCAAATGGAAAACTGAGATCCCCATTAAAAAAGCGGTAAAATCTCACTAAAACGTCAACAAACCTGGGATAGGTTTAGAGGGGGATAAGTCATAGGCCTGGTCTCTCAAAACTCCATCAACGTAAAACTTCCAGTCTCCCTTGTTGCTCGACCACATCAGTGCCACATGATGCCAGAGACCATCATTCAGCTTCAAGCCAATGGAAACTGTTTCATCATTCACAAACAGTTGTACACTGAAAAAACATTTTTTTTAGAATTTAGACAGTGCCAATGGAAACTGTTTCATCATTCACAAACAGTTGTACACTGAAAACAAAATTCTTTTAGAATTTAAAAAGTGCCAAAGGAAACATTTTCATTTCACTAAGATTTGTACAAATAACATTCTTTTAAAATATTTTTAAAAATATAAATATCTCCCTGATTCAGTCCTTTATTCCCAATATTTTAAATATTGAGTCATGATTGATTATTTTCATCCTTACTTTGAATAGTCTGTGAGTGTCAAGGCATTTGGCACACCTTTTACAGCATAAGAAAATGGAGTTCCCTGGTTAAATTCATCCGTGGTTTTCATCCAAAATGCAACTGTTACATCATTTAATGGCTTATCAATGACAAACTGGGCATAGTCGTTGATGGTGGGTGTGGCAAAGTCCATCTGGTAGTTGGTATCAAGTTCTTAAATATTTTAAACAAATTTAGTCTAATTATCATGTGAGTATGTAAATTAATCTATTCATAATCTATTCAAATTGTTTACATATAAAAATGTAGACCTACAAAACAGGGCAGGCATTATTTTCAAGATGTAAATTGCACTAACCTTTTTCACATTTCTGCCCAGAAAATCCTTCTGGACAGTGGCACTTGTAGCTGTTGAGTAAAGCTTCACATCGCGCTCCATTTTGGCATGGCTGCTCAGCACAGGCATCAATATCTTTTTCACAGTTTTTGCCAGTGAAGCCTGGGCTACAGGAGCACCTAAAGAATAGAGTGTGTGCCATGTCAAACAAAATTTACAGGCATTTTTTTTTTAGAAATAACACCATTGTTAGATGTCATAATTATTTGCCAAACATAAAGGCCAGCTCATGCTTACACTCGACTCGCAGTCTACTCTTGACTCCCATTCTACCCTTTTCTCTACTATATCCTTCACTCCCAGTTACCCTTCACTCCAGTCTATCCCTTCATCCACTCTACCCTTTACTCCCAGTTACCCTTTACTCCCAGTTACCATTTACTCCAGTCTATCCCTTCATCCACTCTACCCTTTACTCCCATTTACCCTTTACTCCCAGTTACCATTTACTCCAGTCTATCCCTTCATCCACTCTACCCTTTACTCCCAGTTACCCTTTACTCCCAATTACCCTTCACTCCAGTCTATCCCTTCATCCACTCTACCCTTTACTCCCATTTACCCTTTACTCCCAGTTACCATTTACTCCAGTCTATCCCTTCATCCACTCTACCCTTTACTCCCAGTTACCCTTTACTCCCAGTTACCCTTTACTCCAGTCTATCCCTTCATCCACTCTACCCTTTACTCCCAGTTACTCTTTACTCCCAGTTACCCTTTACTCCAGTCTATCCCTTCATCCACTCTACCCTTTACTCCCAGTTACTCTTTACTCCCAGTTACCATTTACTCCAGTCTATCCCTTCATCCACTCTACCCTTTACTCCCAGTTACCCTTTACTCCCAGTTACCCTTTACTCCAGTCTATCCCTTCATCCACTCTACCCTTTACTCCCAGTTACCCTTTACTCCCAGTTACCATTTACTCCAGTCTATCCCTTCATCCACTCTACCCTTTACTCCCAGTTACTCTTTACTCCCAGTTACCATTTACTCCAGTCTATCCCTTCATCCACTCTACCCTTTACTCCCAGTTACCCTTTACTCCCAGTTACCCTTTACTCCCAATTACCCTTCACTCCAGTCTATCCCTTCATCCACTCTACCCTTTACTCCCAGTTACCCTTTACTCCCAGTTACCCTTTACTCCAGTCTATCCCTTCATCCACTCTACCCTTTACTCCCAGTTACCCTTTACTGCCAGTTACCCTTTACTCCACTCTACCCTTTACTCCCAGTTACCCTTTACTCTCAGTTACCCTTTATTCCAGTCTACCCTTTACTCTCAGTTACCCTTTATTCCAGTTTACCCTTTACTCCCAGTTACCCTTTATTCCACTCTACCCTTCAGTCCCAGTGAGGACCCTACCAGCAGATAAAGAATACACCACAAGAGACAGAGGACCCTACCAGCACATGAAAAACTTACTTATAGCTAGTGGGTAGGTCTTGGCATGTGCCGCCATTTCTACAGGGTGAAGGTGTACATGAGTCTACATCCACCTCACAGCTTTCCCCAGCGTAGTCTGCAGTACAGGCACACTTGAACCCTGTGGTTGTGCTGGTGCAGGTTCCACCATTCATGCAGGGGGTTCCAGAACAGTGGTCAATTCTAGTGCTGCAAGTTTTTCCTGTGTTAAAAACAAGGTTATAAAAACAGTGGTCAATTCTAGTGCTTCAAGCTTTTCCTGTATTAAAAACAAAGTTGTAAAAAACAGTGGTCAATTCTAGTGCTGCAAGTTTTTCCTGTGTTAAAAAACAAGGTTGTAAAAAACAGTGGTCAATTCTAGTGCTGCAAATTTTTTTTAAAGACAAACTTGTAAATTATGTTGAGTATGTCAGAAAATCAAGATGAATGAAAACTTAGGATAAGTCAACATAGGCCTATACCAAGAACAATGTGGAATTTAAAAAAATTAAAAGCAAATTAAAGTAATTTTAATTAAAGTAGGACAACAACTATAGCCTACCTTATACCTGCTTTTATCAAACAGGACATAAAATTACCTGTGTAAGGGTGGGGGCAGTTGCAGGTGAATGAATTGATCCCATCAACACACAGACCATTGTTCTCACATGGATTATCTTTACATTCATCTATGTTCACCTCACACTTTTTACCTGGATAAATGATGAAATCAATTACATTACCTCTAAAAAAAACTTGATAAAAAATTACTATCATTAGGATTTTATGAAGACTTACCAGCAAATCCTTCATTACATAAGCATTTGTAAGAGTCCTGATAACTTTCACATGTCCCACCATTACTACAGGGTTGCTCTGCACAAAAGTCTATTTCATTTTCACAGTTTTTGCCTGGTTTTTTAAACGGAAAAATGTAATAGTCTTATACAACAGTATGTGTTCTTTCGGTATGTTAGGAAGTGTGTCTACTGACCAGTCATATTTTTTGTTGACTGACCAGTCTGTCACCACTGTTGTCCACTGACCAGTCTGTCACCACTGTTGTCCACTGACCAGTCTGTCACCACTGACCAGTCTGTCACCACTGACCAGTCTGTCACCACTGTTATCCACTGACCAGTCACACCACTGTTATCCACTAACCAGTCTCACCACTGTTGTCCACTGACCAGTCTGTCACCACTGTTGTCCACTGACCAGTCTGTCACCACTGTTGTCCACTGACCAGTCTGTCACCACTGTTGTCCACTGACCAGTCTGTCACCACTGTTGTCCACTGACCAGTCTGTCACCACTGTTGTCCACTGACCAGTCTGTCACCACTGTTGTCCACTGACCAGTCTGTCACCACTGTTGTCCACTGACCAGTCTCACTACTGTTGTCCACTGACCAGTCTGTCACCACTGTTGTCCACTGACCAGTCTGTCACCACTGTTGTCCACTGACCAGTCTCACCACTGTTGTCCACTGACCAGTCTCACCACTGTTGTCCACTGACCAATTTGTCACTAATGATTAAATTATACAACTGTACTACTTAAAAAAAAAATCAAGAAATATTTGTGAATGTAAACTGTTTTAAGTGATTTCAAATATTTTTTTAAAAAGTAGAATAGAAGCAGGATGGTAGATGTTTGTATAAAAAAAATAAAATGTATAAAAATATTATGACAACGAAATGTTAAATAAATAGCTGTTCATTAATTTAACATATAAGCTTTATTAAGAATGCATCTAAATATATTGACAGCAGCATGAGTAAATAAATCAGATGGATCAACTAGTGTTTTAAAGTAAGAAATGTACCAGCAAAGCCTCTAGGACAGACACACTTGTAAAGAAATCCTCTTGTGGGCTCGCATGTACCCCCGTTTTCACATGGATCTGTCATACATAAGTTAAATGGCACATTGTTCTGACGTTGTTGTCCTCCTTTTTTAACTGACCCTTGGTTATAAGTTGACCAGTCATCTGCTTGAAGCTCAGAGGCTGTGGAATAAATGATTGACTCATACAGTTTTGTAAAGAAACATAAAACTTGTATCAGACCCAATGTCGCTTGTAATCACTTTAATCAGACTTTTGTATGAAGCAATTGTTAGGGGTGCTACAGAGAAAGGAAGTCGGATGACAGGGGCAGATTTTTAAATCCCTGATTGATGATTGCAAAATGTCTTAACAACAAAGGCCAGGCTACGCTCTCACTAAATAACTTCACAGAATTCCATCCTTAAATTGAAATTGTAGTTCTAATGAAAAGTAACTTAGTTTTCATGATTTGTTTAAAACAATTCCAAATATGCTCATTAGTTTTGAAGAGTACAACGACAGTAAAGTCTAACACCCCTCCCCCTCCCAAACCTTTAAAGACATTCCCTAAAAGCACATTACAATTTTAAATGTAATAAATACAAATTTGATTTGCTGTGAATTTAACAGTTATCACTAAGATACTAGCTTACAGTTGTAGCAGTCTTATTCATCTTGTGAGAAAACAAAAACTAAAACCACAGTATAGTTAGATGCTAGCTTACAATTGTAGCAGTCTAATTCATCCTTTGAGAAAACTAAAACCACAGTAGAGTTAGATACTAGCTCACAGCTGTAGCAGTCTAATTCATCCGGTGAGAAAACTAAAACCACAGTATAATTAGGTGATTGCTTACAGATTTGGCAGTCTTCAAACTTGGCTGAGCCTGTCAACTGGGTTGTCCCTTCAACAGGGCAGAGAAAGCATGTCGTCTGACCTGGCTCTGGTTGATAGCTGTTGTGTGGGCATGGATAGCAAGGGACCAGACCAGTAGCACTGATAAAACCAGGGGGACAGATCTCTTAACATGGAAAAAAATACATTCGACATTTTAATTTGAATAGATTTATAAGAAAAAATATTAAGATAAATTTCATATCAAACTTAAATTTAATGATGCACCTTTACAGTCTTCTTCTTTTTGGCTTTCTCTTCTGTGTGTTGAAAGTCCAGGGCGACACTGATGACAAGACTGAGAAGAATAGTTTGGCTGGTAAAATCCAATGTGGCAAGTCTCACAAGGCTCAAGTCCATTTTCAGACCACGTTCCAGGGAGGCACAGGGCTGTAAAATAATGTGTAAAATGTAGTAGCATTAGTTCTAAAGTAGTCAATAGTTCACATGCACATAAAATTATCTGGCAGCACACAAAAAGTAACAAATTATCACATATGTCAAATATAATGGCAAATTTTTATCTTCTAAACTTATGAAACAATAACAGTAATGAAAGAAGATGACTACTTGGCCGCATTGATAACTGAGAATATTTTTCCACTAAATTAAATTTACTATATTTCAAGGGGATAAATCTTACTTTTAATGAAAAAATTTGAACATTTTTAAATGAACTTTTTTTGACTTATGTTAAATAGAGCTAGTTTTACCTTTGCATTCTGTCTCACTTTTAGCATGTTCTTTTGCTGTAGATTTGTGTTGTGGGCAGCTGATGCAAGTGTTTTGACCCTCCTGGCTTTGATAAGTCCCTACTGGACAATCCTGGCATTTCTTAGTATTCACATGGAAAAATGTACCAACTGGACAATGCACTGAAAGAATTAAATGGGCAATTCTTAGCTTTCACTTTTTGGTAGATATGTTTCCTGTTGTTTTTTTTGTACAACCTATAAAATGTATTTAAAAATTAAGATGAATAAGCTGGACAGAAATATAGTTCCTATACTGTTAGCAATTTTACACACATGCTTTCAAATTTTGAGTAATTTTTTCACTATAGAATATTTCAAGATAAAGACTTTACATATGTAGGTTGCATGTTTTAGATGCACATTTGGATTAGCTTTTACTTATTATAAATTCCTTCTACGTATTTTTCTTATTAATCCTAAATGGTTTTTATCAACAAAATTAAAATTATTTGTAGTACTAAATTTAAATGTTGCAGTAAGTCACATTTTAAGAAAGCATTATCAGTTGATTTTTTTGACTAAATGTATTTCTTAACAATTGATAACTTTTTATCAAATTACAAATTTATATGGGATGTTAATATTATTTATTAACAAGTATGCCTAATTATTATTTACTTTTAATTGAAACAACATACATTTTATTCTATTTTAATGAGGATTACCGTGTTATATGATTAGTATGAGCATCCAACTAATTCCTTGCTATGTGATTAGTATTGAGATTCACCAAATTCCTTACCTTGTCAAATAGTAATAAAAAAATAAAAATAAAAAAAAAATAAAATTAAAAATAAAAAAAATAAAATAAAAAAAAAATAAAAAAAAACAAAATTATAAAAATAATAGCTGATGATATCGTAGCTGAGCTGGGACAGCTCCACCACCCTCTCCTGCACCCTGAGGTTTAGATTCCCACTATTAGCTTCCTGCTGTAGTCTTGCCAGCATTTTCATCAGAGGAACTGCAGCATCAGAGTTTCCAGAGTCTCCAACTCCACCTGAGATTTGGTTTTTACCATTACAAAATCAAAGATCCTATTGACACAAGAAATGGAGTGCTGTTATGAAATTAATTTTTAAGTTACCTTCAAGTGAAAATTGAAATTTGAGGCGAGACCGTTTGTTCTTCTGATCTCTTCGTACTCTCAACTTGCTTGCATATTCCCTCAGAGATCGTCGTCTTCTCTTGTTATCATGTACCAGCTGAATTTTGTTAAAATCTAAATGGGTAAGCAATGTATTTGTTTTTAATTTGGCATTCAGATAATAGTGAAATTAAAACCATTTAACATATTTGAGAAAAAAAAACTAAATTATTCCATTGAAAGTAAATGGATATGTCAAATTGAAGATTAGATATGAATAGTTGATTAAAGATTTTAAATAATGGAATAGAATTACATTAAAAAACCCATAACCTCCATGTATAAAGTAATCTCTTGTTTAAAATATAACAGTAAAATATTTTGACCTTCTTCATCCTCACACACAGATTTGAGTGCACCCACAGAACAAACTAGTTCGTTTTCACAGGCACTAGAAATCTGAAGAAAAAGAACACAACAAATCAGTGCATTTTCAAAAGCACTAGAAATATTTTTAATATAAGTTTATTTTCACAAGCACTAAGTTAAGTTTAGAAAAACAAAATTGAGAAGATTAGACAGGTAATCAGGGCTACTATGGAAGCTGACTTACTTTTTCAGTCATAATGTCCTTCAGATTTTCTTCAATTCTTTCAATCAGTAGTCTGTCTTTGCACGACAAGTCACCAGTTAGTGTAAGTAGTGCAGGCTGGGAGATTTCATTGGATATTTGAACAACTGAAAAAGGAAAAATTGGTTTCAGTTTTATATATCTATTGCATGTTGGTGAAAATAGAAGTTGGTCAGTGTGCATTAGTCAATGAATGGGATACATACAATACATCTTAAGTGAATTGGTTGACTATAAACAACATGACTTGCTGCATCTTTTCTTTATCATTAATGACAGGTGTAGCTATAAACCGCTGACCACACTATCCCTTCATATGCAGAAGTAAAGAAACAACTCCACTATCTGCTCTATTAATACGTCTAACAGAGGATGTTTATTATCTTTACTTTTAAATATAAACACCTTGGCTTCTTATCTTTATTGTTATTGGCTAGCAAACAGCAACCACAATTTTTCATTAATGATAAAATGAAGTAATGGATAAAACATTTGACATACTGATTGATATTTACCAATAGGTAGGGAACCACACCACCAACATGTAACACAATTTTACCTGCACCAACATGTAACACAATTTTACCTGCACAATCTGGGAATTTCTCTTCTGGTGTCCAGCGCCCAACATCCAGCTGACAAACATACTCCCTAGCTGGAACTACAGCAAAAGCAAATCCTTCATGGCAGGCAATTTTACACACCACTTGTGTGTTTCCCTCAACACATGAAATATTCCCATGTTTTGGAGCCTCAGGTATAATACACAAGTGACCTAAAGATGTTTTGATTGAATTAATCTATGAAGATACTTACTAAAGGTTACAGTTATTTTTCAATATTATTATAATGAAGTAATTCAAAAGCTGTTTAAAAATTTTAAAAATCCAAAGGATAGTGCTAACATATAGTGCAGGCATATAGTCAGATCTCACAGCTACCTGGGTCTAAGACATTACCCCCCGCCCCCATTTCAATTAAACCCCGCCCTAGAGTAATTACCCCCTATCCATCTCTAATTTATGGGGGTTAATTAGCTTAGTAGTAATATCCTAATGCAGTTTTTTGGGCAGGGGTAATTGCTCTGCTGGTGGAGGAGGGGAGGTGGGGTAAATAATATAACTTGGGTTAATTAAGTTCTTTAATCCTGGTAAGAAACAAATGAACTTTTGATCTTAACTCCAAATGTTTATCACACTAAGGTAAGCAATATGTTAATGATTGCGGCTTTACAAATGCTAATAACTGGATGAAACCAATGAAACATACTTACGTACAACCATGATCTGCATTGAGCAGGTAACGTTGTTGTTGGCTGAGTCAAAGGCCGTGAAAGTGACATCTGTTGTGCCCAAGGGGAACTGGTGCCCTGATCTGAAGGAAGGAGCAATCTCTACTGGAAGTCCAGAATTATCAGAGAAAACCGGTGGCTCAATAGTCAGGTGTGTTCTCTCAGATTTGGAAACAAATGGTGGTGGAGAAATACATTTTTCTATTCGTGGTGGGGTCTTATCTGTCAGATAATAAAACATGGAGACGTAAGCTGCTACATTAAGTGAGTCATTTTATTATGGTTGAGGTTCTTTATTTGTTATTTGAACATGAGTTTATCACACCTATTTAGGACTATTTACACACATTTTTTAAAACGAAAAGATTGCAATACACACAACAATATTTCAACAGACAAGATTAATATTAAACTACTGACTTAGAGAAAATAGTGGGCCTAAATGTAGAGAAAATTAAATAATTTATTTACATTACATTATTTTCATAGATAAAATTGTACCATAGACCTATAAACTTTTTTTAATAAAAGAAAATAACTTGATTTACATAAATTACATTCAACAGATGAAATTAGATACATTTATGTATGTTAATTTGCATGAAATGAAGCTACGTCTAGAATGCTTACCAACAACACTGATAGTAAACTTGCACCTGGCAACGTTTTGACTCTGATCCTCAGCCTTGTAAGTTACAACTGTGTTGCCAATAGGAAACTTGGATCCTGATTGAACTGCTGGCTCAGCAGTGAGTAGGGGGCGAAACCCTGAGTTGTCTACAGGAATTGGCACCATCCAGGTGACTTCAGTCAGAGGCTCAAGTTTGTCTGCTTCGACTACAATGTTTTGAGGGCATCGCAGTACTGGCGCTGTTTCATCTATAGATATTAAGTTTGTACTGAAGTCTAAATCTAGATACACTGCTGTATACACAAAATAAGCTGTGTAGACAGAATCAGATACATTTTTTACAGCAATAACAAGCAGCCTTAATAAACGGATTTTAAGATTTGCACATTTTTACACAACCAAAGACATTGGATGGACTAAGAATTTTATTAACCAAGATGAACTAATTTCCTAACTGCTTTTTGGCAACAAAGACAACACAGAAATCATAAAAACAAATATACATGAAAGAAGTAAAATATGTGATAATGTGATAGCAAGAGATATCTAAAAAAATAATATTTGTGGACTGACCAATACATTGATTGACACCATTTTCAGTGGCCAACCATGTCCCATCTGGTGTACACTGTTTGGTGTGTGGACCCACCAGAGTGTAGCCAGATGAGCAGGAGATCACACAAGTGCTTCCAAAGATCATTTCTTGTGATATACAACTGGCAGGTTTGAATGTTCCATCTTTTATCTCCACTAAAGGTGGGCAGGTAATCTCTACAGAAAGCATGCCAAAATTTAATTTTCTAATAAACAAAAAATTTCTTAACTCTTATTTAGTTAAAGCAAGGGTTGAATTTGATATAAACCTATTAATATTATAATAAGTATGCCTGTTAATACTATTTCTTTCAATAAGAGTAAAAATGTATTTGTTATTTTGAAAAACGTAAAATAAAACAATCATACATGCTTGAAGTCAAGAACCATATGTCAATTTTTTTTTACCTCTGCATCTGGTAGCTATCCCTGTCCACATGGCAATGGCCAAACAGTTTCTTTTCCTAGAACCCACCAGCTGGTATCCAGCGTTGCAGGTGAAGCGGCAGACAGTGGAGTAGGAAAAGTCATCGGTGGAGCAGACCATGTGGCCGTTCTTTGGTTGGGGAATAGCAGAACATGTTCTCACTACACAGCAAAAGAACAGTTTCACTCCTTGGCATTAACATCAATTTACTTTATATTTATTTACCTAACCTTTAACAACACTGTAGCATCTTTTGCATGTAACACTTATGAAAAACTGTATTTAAGCAAAGTGGCTTATCAATTTTTTTTAAATGGTATAGAAATTACAAACAGAACGTTTAAATAAGGATTCTGAATTATTAGTGTACTGTAATTTTTTTTTAATAAAGTGACAGTCAGTTTAATATTAAACAAACTAAAAGTTTTAGACTTGAAATAAATTTATAAAAGTCTTTTTTTGAAAATACAATATTAACTGCTTTGATACTTACACACACATTCTGTTTCCTGTCCTGACCATTTGCCATCATCCTGGCATATTCTAAGACTGCTCCCTCTAAGTTCATATCCCATCTGGCATCGCAAACCACAGGCAGCGTTATAAACATTGTTACATTTATTGTTTACAAAATGGCCGTGCTTTGGGGGTGAGAGATCTGAACAGCGAAAGACTGTGAAAAGATAATATTTAATAGATTATATGCAATTTATTCATGAAGTAGTGTAGGCGAATTTGGGTTACTATCTTAATTAAGAAACATACCTATACATTCCTTTGTGTCAGAGATATGGTATCCTTTTTTACAAGTACACTGTGATATGGACACAGCAGCTAAGGGTGTTGTGTGATGTTCATCTGGACATGGAGTACAGGTTGATACATCACCCAGCCCAGTAAAGTTTTTGTAGGTACCAGCAGGACAAGCTACAACAAAGGAAAAATAGATTCATTTTTGTTCTGATATATCAATCACACATTGTAAAACATGAAGAAAAATAGATAATAAGATTTCCTTATATTTTGATTGAAATTCAATTTAAGTAGAATCTAGATCTATGTGTCGTACTATTTTCATTGATATCTGCAATTTCAGTGAAAAAAACCCACTAAAGTTATATTTATAATGGCTTAAGTTAGTTAACTTACGTAAACAGCCAACCTTGCCACGACCAGTACCATAAAATCCTTGTCTACACATGCACTCATATCTTCCTGTATATGTTCCACAAGAACAAACAGCATTTTCATTACAGCACAATCCCTCAGAATTACACAGCTTCTGGCACTTATTCATCGACTGCTCAATGTATCCGCCATTATGAAGATCTGGTGAACATTATATGATGGTGATAGTTAAGTGTGTGCATGAATCCAAGAACTAGAGTTTAGGCAATATCATGGGTCATCCATAAATGGCACTGACACCATGCTTTGAATTTTAAGACATGACAAAAGGCCAGACCTACTCTCCACATTTGCTCATGATTGATATTATAATAATTAATATAGATTATAGATCTACTATTATAATAATAATATAATAATGTATTTATAGAATATAGATTTAATCTAATCTAGTTCTGTATTCTAGATCTAGAATCTAGGCCCTACTTTTAGAGAGCTAGCTTTTCTGAAAATAAAGTAATACAATTTTAAGTAGGTTTTTTTATAACTGTGTAGACTATAGAGTGTAGACTGTAGGTCTAGAGTCTAGATTCTAACAGTGTAGAGCTATAACTAATCTTATGCTCTATTCACTATAGTCTATCTATACTCTATCGCAATAGCTAGATCTAGATCTAGATTAGATCTATAGGCTATAAGTATAAAACTATAACAGCGATTGTTGGTTTCTTTATCGGCCATTTGTTTTTCGATCTGGCCACATCCTGACCAAAACTTTTTATCAGACGTGAACCTCATAACCGGGAGTGATCTCCCCTAAACTTTCTCGAATATTCTTGCATAACACTACGGGGGCTGGCAACTCGGGATAAAGAAATGATTTTTAATCAATTTTTAATTACTTCAACTTTTAAAATAGAATAGAATCTAGTAGAAAAAAAAATGCGACCAAAGTGAATGGCAAAGAACATGTGTATAATAGTGCGGACTATTATTAGTAATTTATGAATTCATATTTGTTTTTTGAGAAATCGGAAATAGCGTAAATTACTACTTCCGTTCAACAGAAATTACTTTTGTGCCAGAAATTATCGGAAATCGCTGAAAAGCTGATACAGAACTACACATTTGATGTAGGCCCTAATACGTAATGAAATTTCATCAACTTAGCTGTAACTGTAATCAAGTTATCGTGTTTACAGACATACATACAAATACACATACACACACACAAACAGACACACGGACAGAATTGCAGAGTCCAGTTTTTCCGACTCGATTTTGCGTAAAAAGCCGAAATTTTGATAAATCTGGAATCTGGATTTAGAATTTTTGCCCGATAGTCCACTGTACTCTGTATATGACGAAGTACTGAGAAGTAAAATGGTGAAAACTGTCAACATTTCATGTGATTTTTGTGCACGATTACAATACTTTCTCACCTTCTCTATCATCTGTATATGACAAAGTAAAAATTTAAAGTCATTTTTTCCCCGCAGAATTACACCCTAATCTAATCATTCATCTTTGTTCGATACTCACAGATTAACATTGTGCTCCATAAGCATATTTTAGATTCGATAGCGAAATAATCGTAGGCCTTATAAATCATAACTAAAAAAACAACAGTTAAGTAAACGATTGAATTAAGTTTAAAATAAAGAATAAAGTTAAAGATGAGTTTCGAAAAAAAAAAGCTGAAACATAAATGACAGCAGGTGTTTGAAATGTTTAGGTAAATTCAATAATTAAAAAAAAAGTCCAAACAACTTAAGCACAAGGGTGAAACCACAAGAATGTAGATGACACTAAACTATACAGTGTCGGCACGGGTTGACATCTTGTGTTACCCTACCAGCTGACGTCGGACTTAATTACGCCATTGAATCTTAATGCATGTTTCAAATCTACTTCACTTGATTCCTAATATAGTCTAAAGTCTATGACATACCCACAGGCAGTAGCGTAGCGAGGGGGGGGGGGGGGCGGAGGGCGCCAAAATGGGTTGGAAAAATAAATTGAAAGGTTGAAGGGGGTGCAAATCGAAATCTTGAGGGGGGGGGGGGGGGTGCAAATCGAAATTTTGAGGGGGGGGGGGGTGCAAATCGAAAAGTTTGTCCCCGGGCGCCGGGAGGGTCGCTACGCCTCTGCCCACAGGCCAAAGCTTCAAACTGCAACCAACAGGATTTTATTTATTTTTCTACCTGCATGCAATGCGCGTTTGGCCAAAGCTTCAAACTCTTCAAAACTCTCCAGAATGTAACAGGTTTCATTTTTCGGCTCCGACGCCATTTCCTGCAGTTCCCAGACAAAGCCATCCTTGATGCCAAAGGTAAATATTTTGACGCCCTCTCGTTTCAGTCTTTGGGCCACTGGACGGGGGTCTCCGCCGTTAGAGAACCCATCAGTCATGAGAAAGATGGCCTTTGCGGCGTCTGGTCTTGCTGACCTCAAGACTTTCTGAAACAATCAGCATTTTAGGAGATTTGTATTGACATGATCATTTGAACACATGACATTACAAACTCAAGTGCTAACATAAACTAAAATTATATATAAAATGGATTGGTTTGAAATAGAAATTTATTTAAATCATGGTAATAGTTGTGTAATAATTATGCCTGGGTTTATTTTTTTATTTGTTTCTTATTTGCGAATTGGCGCGATCATGATTTTTTAAATAATATAATTAACGTAAGAGTAACATCAAAAGGACGCAAATGGGCACCAAGGTGTAACCTGTTCTTAGTCTAGCAGATTTTTTCAAAAACCTACATTTGTTATTAGTTCAGATCTAGGAACATTGATTTTCAACAATTATTGATATCTCTAAATCCTAATTCTAATCTTTGCTGTAACATGATCTAATTATCAATTCCCAATTTAAACTCGATGCTTCATAGCATAAAGTAGGCTTGTAGACGGTGATGTTTCACAACATCTTGTCAAACATGATATGAGTGCTGAGACACGACTACCGTTACCGTATAACGACAAAGTAACAAATGTACACTAAAAATGCTACTCACTTCCGCCTCTAGGAAGGCGCCCAAGGTGTGGGTTCCCCCCGGGGTGTACTCCACGTGCGGCATGTCCTCTAGCAGCAGACGACACTTGTGGTTGTCCTCGTCTGGGTGACTCAGGTAGTCGATGTAACGGAAGATTTTATTGGGCGAGGAGAAGGTGATGACGGACACGCGGGTGGTGTTGATGTCCACGGTAAAGTCGGCCAGTAAGTTACGGACAAACCTGAGGACACAAGGGCTTCGTTAGGGGACATTGACCTCATTACATTAACCCTACTTATTTACATAATTTATAACAAAATATATTGTGCTTTAGTGTTGTAAAACTCTTCGATAAACTTTAAAAAAGTAATAAAATATTTACATTTTATTAAAAAAAAATTTTTATTCGCTGAAAAGAGATGGAACCAGAGTACTGTAAAACTTAAACAAAGTTAGACCTACTAAAATAGCTGACACAAACAGGCATTTAATCATATAATCATTTTAATAACTTGATGAAATTGCGAAATATATTTTAAAAAACCATTTTGATAAGATGCATCTAATGTCAAAAAATGTGAATTTTAAAGCTTCTTACCTAATTTCTTCATAGAAGTAATATTTCCCCACCGTACCGGAGCTGTCAATCAAAAAGATAAGCTCCACCTTCTTGTGTGGCGTGTGACGCAACTGCTGCACATGCCGCTTGAAGATGTCGCCCAGCGTCTCCACCTTGGCTCTGACCAGCTGCGTCTTGAAGAAGTCGGTGTAGTCGGAGGCTTTGTTGAAGAAATACCTGGACTTTGTGTTGGTGGGCTGCAGCAGGATGACCAGCAAGAGCAGGGTGAAGAGGGCGAAGTGTGGGGCTCGCATGGTCAACACGGCGTCATTCAACAGTCGGACACGGCTTGGTATACAACAGGTAGCAGTAGCTAGTTATACAAGAGGTAGCTGTAGCTAGTTATACAAGAGGTAGCAGTAGCTTGCTTAACAACAGCTAGAAGTAGCTTGCTATACAATAGGCAGCAGTAGCTCGTTTTACAACACACAGAAACACCTTGATATACAGCAGGTACCAACAGCTACTTATGCAAAAGGTAGCAATAGTTTGCTATACCACGGGTATCAATAGCTTGCTATGCATCAGGCAGAAAAATCCTTGATATACAGTAGGAATAGCTTGTAATACAACAGGTAGCAGTAGTTTGCTATGCAACAGGTAACAATAGTTTGCAGCGGGTAGCAATAGCTTGTAATACAAGAGGTAGCAATATTTTGCTATGCTACATTCAGGAACACCTCGCAATACAAGCAGAAACTCGATGCTGTTAAACAGATATCGAAACTCCGCACCACAGTCAGAGTTGGATGAAAAAAGTCAAAGCCACGAAAATAAATTATGATGTTTGTTAAATAATCCACTTAGCGATGTCCAGTGGTGAAACATACGATGATTTGAATGTTCACAATAAAATACGGTTGCGTGGTTTGTCTTGTTGAACTTATTGATTTGCTTTTTATAATAGATAACTAATAAAAACAAAATAAAATATCTCTAGGTGTGATTTATTAAAGCAAACGTGTTAAATAAATCAAAGATCTAAACGCGTAACAAGAAAAGGATACAAGGACATAAGGGGATCGTGTCTGGGATAAGAAAGATGGGAATAAAGCGACCTGTCTGGGATGAGAAAGATGGGAATAAAGCAGTGGCGGAACTAGAAAAAAGGGCCACCCCGCAAAATATTTTTTAGGCCCCTCCATATATATATATATATATATATATATATATATATATATATATATATATATATATATATATATATACAATCACAAAATACTATATATATATATATATACAATCACAAAATACTATATATATATATATATACAATCACAAAATACTAGCATAGGATGCTTGTTGCTGGCCTATTCGAGATTTGAAAATCATCAATTAAACATATTTTCAACATCATGTCATATGTGTGAGTGCATTGGTGTGTTTTGTGAAAATCAGTTTTAATTAATTTTTGATAGAAGCCCTCTTGGTATTTTGTCGGTCAAAATAATATAAAACATGAAAGCTTTGTTTAAGTAATGGTGTCTCGTGTTATGTTTATTTATAAGTTTCTTAAAATTTATATTATTAATGTTTTAAATATTATTGATTTGATACATTTCCTATTTATACAATATTATTCTTTAGTAATTACTTATAAAAAAATAATAATTAAGAGAAGTAATTGCTTTTTAATTTCTTAAGTACAAATCTATTAAAGGAGCTTATGATTCCCCCTTTTTGACTATTTTAAAAAAAAAGGGAAATAAATCATGGAAGTGGTTTGTGCATTTGCTTATCTTTGATAAGTTTCATTGTAGGAGAAAGAGGACACGGCTTTTACCATAGTTTAAAAACAAAGGGAAAAAGAAGAAACAAGAGCGTGGGGTGGTGTCTATAGAATAAAGATAATCCATCCGCAGCTACGGTAATTTTTTACAAAACAACCATCAAGTAAAAAATGAAAGAAAATTTACTTTTTTTTTTTAATTATAAAAAAATTATTATGGTCGGCTCTGGGCCCCTAAATGGCGTGGGTCTGGCGGCACTGTAGTTCCGCCCCTGGAATAAAGCGACCTGTCTGGGATAAGAAAGATGGGAATAAAGTGACCTGTCTAGGATGAGAAAGATGGGGAATAAAGCGACCTGTCTGGGATGAGAAAGATAGGAATAAAGCGACCTGTCTTTGATAAGAAATATGGGAATAAAGCGACCTGACTGGGATAAGAAATATGGGAATAAAGCGACCTGACTGGGATAAGAAAGATGGGAATAAAGCGACCTGTCTGGGATAAGAAAGATGGGGAATAAAGCGACCTTTCTGGGATGAGAAAGATGGGAATAATACGACCTGTCTAGGATGAGAAAGATGGGGAATAAAGCGACCTGTCTGGGATAAGAAATATGGGAATAAAGTGACCTTTCTGGGATGAGAAAGATGGGAATAATACGACCTGTCTAGGATGAGAAAGATGGGGAATAAAGCGACCTGTCTGGGATAAGAAATATGGGAATAAAGTGACCTTTCTGGGATGAGAAAGATGGGAATAATACGACCTGTCTAGGATGAGAAAGATGGGGAATAAAGCGACCTGTCTGGGATGGAATAAAGCGACCTGTCTAGGATGAGAAAGATGTCTAAAAATGCGATCATCAGCAACAAGAATTGTTCGAGTCATTGTGTTAACGTGACAGTTACAGCTAGTCTAAGTGGTTCAAGTGGTTCAAGTGGTTCAGGTGGTTCAAGTGGCTAGTTATTTAGCGTGCATGACAAAAAGGATGACCGCTACAAATGGTTTTGGTTGAGAGGTTCAAGTAGAAGGGGGGGGGGGGGTACCGGTATTTTTTTAATGCACGTGATAGGGTTTATTTATGCAACTTTTGCCTCAGGAGTAGTTTACATCTAGTTTGTTATGGCTGCTTACATTTTTTTCTCAAATCAATGTTGAAAATATGTTAAAACTTTTACTACATTTTTTAATTTAGATTTTTACAAATGTTTTGTTGTTTATTTAGATGATAAATGTTGAATATCGTAACAAAATCAACAAAATATAGAGAAGTCGGAAATTAGTGGTCAGATTTTTAACCCAACGTACGTCCATTTTTATAAGTTAGAATACTAAGACATCGATTAAAATCTTTGAGATGATACAGAAGATTGCTATGTTTAGATTGAACTATTTGAGATGATACAGAAGAATGCTATGTTTAGATTGAATTATTTGAGTGCCCTCTCACCTGCAAGCCTCTCCCCCCCCCCAAACCTTATGTAGGTGCACCTTCCAAGACCCACCTGCCGGTTCCAAGTTATATACGGCTGCCTGTTTGTATGGGAGCAAAACTCGCCACTAGTCAAATTAAATCATATTACACGTTCTAAGCTAAAACCTTATGTTTAGTCTAAAATTAAACCGTTGGTATTCATGTAAACAGAAAATAATCTCATGACTAAAATCTACATCATCGATGGAGTGAACTTCTACCCAGATGGAAATGTCAATATTTCATCCATAGAGAAGAGATGGCGTTAACAAACTGCCTAATGTGTTATTGTGGAAAACGTATTACCCGTACAGAAAATATGTGTTGTGTATACGTTATTGATGGCTGGGATATTACGATAATCAAAGTAAAATCGATGTTAGAAATTTATTACAATAAACTTAAAATCCGTATTCGTTATGCGGAGCAATTAATGAATTAGCTGTTTAGTTAAACGAAAAACACGTTGCATTATCAACCAATATTTTAATTGCTGTACTTATTGTTACTCATCATTATAAAAGTGCGACAGTTGTAACTAGACAAACAATATAAAACAACGCAGTAGAAATGATCCATGCAGAGGCGTACCCAGGTTTTCGTTGTAGGGGGAGCGAAAAGAGCAAAAAAGGCGCCGAATTTTTAACACGTTCTATATACGTGTATTATATATATATATATATATATATATATATATATATATATATATATATATATATATATATATATATATATATATATATATATATATATATATAATTACAAGCTGTATGTCATTACTTCGCTATGATGTAAAATAAATTGAAAGTAGCACTCTGAAGAAATAAGAAAAAAAAAACACAATGTAGGCCGACAAAACAAAGTTGTATCAATCTAAACAAAAAAAAATATGCACACACTACAACCAAAAACAATGAACGTAACACAATCTGTTTTGTAATTCTTGTAAAAAAAATTTCTTACATAATAATTCCTGGGAAATTATTTAAGACAAGTGAAATAGGGGAAATAATCACTCTCTTAATATAAATATGTATATATCTACACATTTAATTATAATTGTCAAAACAAATAAATAATTACTTTAGAATATAATTAAATTGTTTAACACTATTCGTGTTTACAAAATGTTTTTGTCTATAATCAGAATTTAATATATCGTCATCATAAATGCTAAAGGATTACAGCATAATGAAAGTTTTTTAAATCAGAGTTGGTATAAAACCACGCTTTTCGATATAATAGAAAAACATTTTGAATAACAGCCTACATTTAACTAAATTTTTGTCTTTTAGTTCAGATCACATATATTAAATTAACTACTGCTTACTTGTGTTCATTTTTTAACATAGTGATAGGTATGGGTTAGATCACTGTATTGATCTCACACCTTTTTACTGGTAATTGCAAAAACAATATTCACAGAGTTTTACGTTTAAAAAGCTAATTTTCTGGCGGCATGGTACTTTGGTACATCATTACGCGTTTTTCTACATGTACTTAACAGATCAGTTCGGGGTGGGTTGGGGGGGGGGGTGGGTTCAACTTCATTCACCACTGTCCGGTCACTTTAGGTCAATTATCCAACCCAGTGTGTACCTAGGTGTGACATTAATGTCGCTCTACACAATTGTGGTGGTGAGGTGTGTGTGAAAGGGGGGGGGGAGATAACCAACTCAGAGTGAACATAGCGTCAGTTTTTAGTTGTTTTTTTTTTGTTGTTTTTTTACAGAGTGGTCCATGGGGGAGGGATTTTGTAACAGTTTCATATAATTTGTAATCGTAATCACTATCGCCCAAACTGTAAGAATACTACTACTTCATCGTGATGACGTTGTTGACCTAGTCAAAATTTCCCCACCAATACGCAGGTTGCTCATTCGTAAATTTAAATAGAGGTGCCACATCAGTTGTATGTGTTTCTGTATTGTAATTTTTTTTTAATTAATCACACGATTAAAACTGTATATATAAAGTAATTATGTGTGAAGTTTTATGGCAAACATTTTCTAATTCAATTATTCGTAAGCAAATACATTATACAGTTGCATTAAACTTAACACCCCTCTTGCCAAGTGGGACTACCCGGTAGAGGTTTTTTAAACAATGCAATGCATCGTAATGGTTATTTTTAGAATGGCAAACTGATGCAGCTGTTAATACGTGTTGTAAACGTAGACAGTACTAGACTAGTACAATAATGCTTAATTGCTGTATGAAAGGAAATCTTGTGATTTACATAGATGTGCCGACAAATTTTTTTTAAACAAATATCATTGTTTAAAACTTTGAGTTTAAAAAAGTTAAAAAAAGGCGCCACTTTGCTGAAAATGGCCAGAGGGGGAGCGGTCGCTCCCCCTGCTCCCCCCCTGCGTACGCTACTGGATCCATGCTATGTCGACTGGCACATATAGTTCCCCCATCTCTAGAATCAAGTGGTTTGAGTCGTGTTATTTCACTACTTCAAAATGACCCATGCACAACCACTTGACCAGGTCACGTGGACATTTCTACCGACACATTGTAAATAAGTCATTAAAAAGTTAATTGCAGACTTACCGAAACAAACAACATAAAGTTAGACCATGTTAGAAATACGTTTCAACATGTTTTAAAAGAAATAATTAAAAAGTAAAACTAGCATTTATGTCGGTAGAATAAGAAATGCGACGTATTTTTTTTGCAAGATAAATACAAATTAATTAATGAAAATATATCTATTAACGACGTAATCCAAACTTAAGTAATCCCAAACTAGAGAGAAAATAGAAAAATTGTTTCGTTAAATAAAGTAAATCTAGAATCTAGTACTTTAGTAGAATGGAAAGGTCAGCGGGTTTTACAAGAAGTAAATAAACAAATTCAAGTAAATTACTCGACGATTACATCAAATCCGTTTGAAAAATTGAACAGCACAAATCCAAAGAGAAAACACAAACAACACACGAGTTTAAAATAACTTGTCCATGGTGAGCCGAGCAAGTCAAGGACTTCTTTTGTCCATTTACTCAACGTCTGGTTATAAAACAATCACGGACAACGGAGCAAGATAAACAAATGATAAGTCACCGCCGTACCCGTGCTCAGATGTTCTAATCGCCCGCGGATAGCTCGCCGCGTGAGTACCACCAGCCGGATCACACGCGCACACATGTGCGGATTTGTTACCTAAAGGGGCAGGGGATGGAACTCTTGGGGCAAACGTAAGAGTTGTCTACCACGATATACTTAAACATCCCTTGAATAAAAGTCGCTGGTAAATATATTTTTAACGCATTATATGTTTAAAAAAAAGATTTTATAAGATGAAGCTAAATAAAAAGCTGTAAGCAATATACTCAAATTAACATGCTTTCGTTTTACATAAGTATTTAATGAAAACAATACATCGAGTTTTAAGCAATAATAAAAACAAAAACAAATAAGCTCAACGTATCCCAGAGGGTGAGTTAGTTTCCCCCATGTAAACAAAGGATGAAACATTGTTTCTTCCAGACTTTTTTTTCCAGGGGGGGGGGGGGGGCACTTGAAGTTGGTTTTTTTTTGGGGGGGGGGGGGGGCGGACACTGTTAAAAGTATATATTTTCTATATAAATTCTATATAAATTCCATTTCGTTCGGGGGGTGGGTAGACTTTCTTCGGGTGGGGGGGGGGGGGGGTTCCCCCGAAGAGATGCCTGGAAAAAAACTCTGGGATGAAGCAAGGTACCCGGGCTCGCTCACGAGACGTTAGAATGGATTCCCCGGCAGGTTGCGCCAGACAACATTGATCCTTGACCTTTGGTGGCCTAGCCCATCACCTCAAAGCAAAAAAGACCAAAACAGCGCACGTGAATGTGGTCGTGTTTGTACTAGCCTGTATTGGTGCTCACCACATCATATGGGGGGAGGGGGGAATCTATGACATCACTAACAACAGGTCCGTCGCTAACCTTTACCCCAACCACACGTCCACAACTGATCTATGTTGTATAGATCTAGCACTGATGTTAAGGTCTATATTGGCTTAGGCTGAAAGCTTTTGGTTTCTTTACAAAGTTGAGATTTGATTAACTAATCTCCCCATCTCCACATTTCTCATCAGTTTTATCATCTATGCAAGGTTTGATATTTATGCCGCAGTACGCATGCGCACGAGTATAGCTCATAGCTACTATTCCGAACAGGTCCAGGTTCAAACCCCCGGGCTGACGAGGCAGATAGAAGGGGGGACAGGAAATTCAATCCATCTAGGAGAAATAACTCCAAAATCAAACAGGAGTAGAGTCCCTTAGGTGATAGGATTACCGACTCTGTCTTTTCGGCAGTTCCTGCGACACTGCTGATTACAAGTTGTACAGGTAACGTCCTGCCCCTTGGGCCCATCAGCTGTGTGGAGAGGGAGGAGGAGGGGGGGGTGATACAGGGGCACCATCTGGCTCTTCTCATGTTGCTGCTCAGACCTTACACAGAAACGTAACAACCAAGGTGGACGAAGGCTACTAGTCCCTGGGCTACAGTTATTCCCCCTACTTGCGATATCTATACGTTCCCACTACCACAACATTCCCCACTTTTAATGTCCACGGCTGATATCCAAGGCGAAATTATCAGATCGTCTTTCAGAGTATGGAGCCGTTTATTTATTAAGTGCGCAAGTGCAAGAACTAATAAATATGATTAATTGCGCATGCGCAAGTATAACATCTATAACATCTCCAGTGTAAATGGCAATTGTTACATCTGTATTTCAGTGCTTACAGCTGAAATTGATACCTCACTACCAATGCTGATCCATCAATATACATTGAAAAAAATTCAGCAGCGATGACGAAAGTAAGCACCAAAAAGTACATAGTATTTGATATTATATATTTTTAACTATGCACAAATTAAGCCAATTATTAGAGTAAATTTATAACATTATAAAAGTATGTAAGGGCGATTTACGCCCGACCACGTTAACATAATTTATTTTAACGGAATCTGCAAAACAAAACATAAAATAATGGCCGATGCTAGTCGGAATAAGATACGCATGCGATACGTGTGCATTCTATACATTTAGTCTAAAACGGAAATTGAATAATTGATGATTCTACTTTACAAGTTTTTTTTTCGTTAAGATAGTTTAATTGGATTAGAAGAAAGCCAGATTTCTGGTACTGCGCGCACTTGCACTGACGTCATCGAGTTTTTGTTGACCCAGATGTGCGTCATTAGACGGCGGTGGTGTTGGGAAACAGGGGGTTAATATCAGGGTAATTAACCCTCCTCGAGCTAGCTCGTCGTATCTCGTCGTATCTCGTCTTATCTCGTCTTATCTCGAGCTGACGCTTCTCTACGTCGTACGGCAGAAACCAGCCGTGAGAAACACAGAGAACATTGCAGATTTTCTTCCCGCACACGCCCCACACAGTCCCTCACAGCCAACCCCCACATTTGTTTCGGTCCAGTCTCCTACATCAGTTCCCCCACACACGTCCACTATACTTGTCCGGATCCGCACAATAGGCCGACAGGGACAAAAGGTCGAATGACCAAAAGGCCGACATGAAAAAATGCCGACAGACTATAAGGCCGACACATAAATTCGGGACACAAGCACCAGACAAACTTCTACACTCTAAGACTGAGACTAAACTAAGAGTTAGAGTAGACCGGCTAAGAAGAGATGATGTAATCTTGTACTACCCCAGTCAGCACACATATATTGGCCCAATATTGGCTAAACATTGGTTACCAATATTGGCTACATCTTGGTGCAACATTGGCTTAACCTTGGCGAAACATTGGTAGTGAAACTCGGCATGATGTTGGCGCAATGTTGGCACAATATTGGCTATATCCCGGCTACATATTGGCCCAACATTGGCTAGATCTTGGCCAAATATTGGCTATATCCCGGCTACATATTGGCCCAACATTGGCTATATCCCGGCTACATATTGGCCCAATATTGGCTACATCTTGGCTCAATATTGGCTATATCTTGGCCCAATATTGTCTATATCATGGTTACATCTTGGCCCAATATTGGCTACATCTTGGCTCAATAATGGCTATATCTTGGCCCAATATTGGCTATACCTTGGCTCATCCTGTATTATATCCTGGCTACATCTTGGCCCAATAATGGCTATATCTCGGCTATACCTTGGCTCAGCCTGTATTATATCCTGGCTACATCTTGGCTCAAATTTTTATTTTTAGCATACAAAAAGATCCATTCTCATATCAGTCATAATATTTACAAAGGTAATTTCAAAATGTTAAAGAAATTTTAATCAAAATGTAGTAAAGCAGCAATACATACACAAGAACTGCTCATCTATTAAAATCTGTATTATACCATCCATTCAATTGTAAGAAAATTATAACTATACTATAAAGTATTGATTGAAAAAGAATATGTAAATAATAGTGTAGTAACTTTCATTTTGACTTTTATACAAACAAATTAAAACAAATATACAAAACATTTTCATATAATGTAACAGATGTTAAGCAGGCCTACAGTTTAAATTAAACTAATGTAAAAACTTAATTTACTGTACAAGAATACAGAAGCTGTCTTGTACTATGATACGTAAACATAACATTAAAAATAAAAAGTATAAAATATTTGTCTAACAACATTTAATTGCATAGCTCGTTTAAGTATTCTAATTAAGGTTTACATTTTAATGCTGGACCAGTCTGCCTTGTCCATAAATAACAGAACGAAAATATGTTCAGGATCTCTAGATTATAATTGTGGTTAAATAGTGTTGAAATGAATGCCATTGTGTATACAAAATGTACAATCTTTCAAAAGACAGATGGTTCGAGGGTTTATACGCATTGTGTAGAACAGGAATATCACTGCGATATTCAATAAATGTTTTTTTGTCTCGAGTATGAGGTATTTAATTATAGTAAACTGAATATAGATTAATTTACTTCATTAATTAGAAATAAATATCACCAGCAGAAGTATTGTCAATACAAATGTTGCAAGCTTTTTTCAGATTGTACAGTGAAACTAAATAATGAAAGAAATTTGCAACTATTTCTTTAAAGAAAAAAAATGTCAATTGTATATTTCATTTAGGGCATTAAATCTACACTAAACATACATACAATGCCAACTTAAATTATTATATTATTACAAAAGGAAACAATTTATTAATTTTAAATCAGCATTGTTCTTAGACTATTTTGGTAAGAGCATCTTTTCTTTTCGTTAAGCACTTAAATGCAATATGTATTAAACTGTTAACCTGATCCATCTGATCAATTTTTTTTTTAAATCTGATCTAAAATTATTACGAAAATCACTGTTGTCCTCATTCTTGTGGACCCTTGTGGAGCTGAGAGACACAACCACACCTCTCTATTTTTATACTTGATTTTAGGAGATTCCCCAAAGTTGGGTCCATAACACTCTGCCTGCTTGTGTTTTGTTGGTTTCTGATATTTTCCATGTTTGTTTTGGATAACAAACTTTCTCTTTCCTTTGGGATTCAAATCCAATAAAAGCCTGGTTGTTGATTTGTGCAAGGTATGTCATAATCCATCCACATTCTAAAAAAGAAAAGTTACACACTAAAAGTCATTTATGAAATAATTACAACCATACACTGCTCATTTTGCACTAAATTTATTATGTTTATTTTATTTTGCACTGCACTGAACATACAACAAGAAGCCCCTAACATCATGTTTGCTACCTTGTAACGATATATTATATAGGTATAAAGACTGGTGGTCTGGGGTGTTCATGCTACCCAGGTAACACGTATACTGCATATATATATATATATATATATTTTTATAAACAAAAGTGAAAAAAAGACCTGGTAATAAAAAAAATAATAGTATGTATATAAATATTATAAACCCCTTACCCTATGTCTCTGAGTTAAGAAGGTGCCAGACAACTTTTGAGCGAGCAATTTCATCAACTTTATCAATTCAGTAATTGAACGATTAGACCCTTCAGAGTGACCCAGAAGTAATGCTTGTGGTCTGAAATTATTTTACTAATATCAGTAAAGGCATTAACTACACATGCTGATCATTACATGCAAGCAAAAATTACTAAATGAAAATTATTATTCACTTTGAAACAATGTAAACTTACAGTTGTTAAGTGTTAAGAACATTTAGTCATTTTCTGGTGTAGCCAGTATTTGGTGAAGTATCAAGCAGTGGGGACCTTATAATTTATTAAAAGATTGATATATCTCCAGTGGGCTGATTGATATACACAACACCTGGAGGCCTGAAAATAAATGGCATTCTTAGTTATTAAATATAATAATAAAATGAGTGAGTGATACAATAAATGATAGCCAGATTAGATACTAATTTTTAAGTATCTCTGTTTATTTGATCTCTGTATATAAAGGATTTGTGTAGTCAACACTATATCTAGCCACCTTTTTTATTTCATAGTCTTAAATTGGGTATATATCAGACTTAGGTGAACTGATGAATGTACTACTAACTTGGCTTTAATTTAGCAATAGTGTCCTCAACCATTTGCCTACTCTGTCCTCTATATGATAATATGAGTAGTCTTGATCATTAAGTATGGCTTACTAACAGAGTTTCTTCCAGGCATCTCTTCGGGGGGGCTTTGCCCCCCCCCCCCCCGAAAAATTTTTACCGCCCCCCTGAACGAAAGGAAATTTGTATCATTTATATAGAAAATATATACTTTTAACAGTGTCCGCCCCCCCCCGAAGAAAGTTTACCGCCCCCCCGAAGATTTCAAGTGCCCCCCCGGAGAAAAAAGTCTGGAAGAAACACTGCTTACTAATAGTACCATCTTATCGCTGTTGGTCATGAAATTAAGTGTTGCTCTGAGGTCTCCACACTACTATTTACACAACTTACATCTTATTCATCAAAACATGCATTAGACTGGAATCCCCAGGGAAAAAGGAGGGTGGGCCGGCCAAGGAAAACATGGAAGAGAACGGTTGAGGAGGAGGCGAAAACAGCTGGGCTCTCATGGGCACAGAGTAGAGGAGCAGCCCAAAACGGAGTCCGCTGGAGATGTGTGGTTGCAGCCCTTTGCTCCCCAGGGGCCACAAAGGAGTGACGATGATGACATCTTATTCTCCCATAGGGAGCTGTAACAGTAATAGAAATTTGAATGACAATCTTGAATCAATTTAGAATTCTAGTTGACTAATTTTTTTCAAAATTAATACCTATCAAAATACACTGTGACTGTTTGTTTAGCATGTAGAAATTTGTTCTATAATTGTGTCTACTGTTCCTCTCTCTCTCTCTCTGAATTAATTATTAAAGACAGTTTCAAATCCTTACACAAATAGGCCTAGAACAATAAAATTAAGTTTTTTTTAAAGTTAAAGTGAATGATTATTTATTAATTTATAAACATTTAAGCCCCCCCCCCCCTTCCCCTGTGCGTGATAATTATACCTAAAGTTGAAAACCAATAAATACATCGATCTATCAATAATCAATATAACCCCAAACGTACTTGCATACTTTTCAATACAAAAAAAAAGTGCTGTCAAAATTAACCGCCCTCTGATTACGATTTTTAGTTATTTAGTATGATTAGAATCTAGATCTATCTAGATCTATCATAAAGGAGATTATTGTAAAATGTAATTATAGCCTAATGCCAAAATAAACAGAATATATAGACTCTAGTATTATTAATATATAGATCTCGACTAGATCTAGATCTAGGCTCATTTTATTACCTCAAATAAACTCCCTTTGGTAAAATCTTAGTTTAGCGTCGTAAATTCGGCCAAAACTAGTAATGTGGGGGAGAGTGAATTAATGAATATGTCATTAAATACGAGTATATTTTCGTATATTTTGATAAAATATTATAGATAATTGAATAATAGATCACCATTTATGGTTAAATCAATTTAAGTATCCTGAAATTCATTTTTATCAACCCTGTTCGAGATAGTAAATTTGCTATTAAAAACAGCAGCCATCTTAAGAAAATGTTATTTAGAGTAGCTTCCCTTTCATTTCTATTCGTATGAAAATGTATTTAAATATGATTGTCTTGTTGTATAGTCTGTATTACAAAGCATTTTTTTAAAATTCTGCCTTTAAAAACTGAATTTCCTAATAAACAACTTTATTAATTCTAGAAGCATTGTGAGATGCAACTTGTATCCATGTATTAAATCACGTTTTTTTTTACTAATGTTTTATTTGATCTTACTATTACTATATAGTTTGAGTTTTTTTCTTATTGTTTGAATGTTCACTATTTTCATTTCAGGTTTTTCTTTTCATCAATTAGTGATTCTATCGTAGCTTATGACATTTTTTTTTACTTCTCTTTACCTTAATTAAACCCCAACCTCCGTCATATTTTTGTTGTCAATGTCACAACAAGTCATAATGTAAAAAATTACGCTTCACTCTGCCTTATCTAAGATCTCTAACCATAATTTTGACAACATTAAATGTTTGTCATCATTTATATATACAGAGAGACAAAATGTATTATCCACCAGCTTTCCTCGTAAAACATCATCTAAAAATATCAGCCACTTCACCCCTTAATGCGTGTTGTCATTATGGTCGATCGCAAGTCTCCAGCTGCCAGACACATTTTGGTTATCCTTTATTGTCAAATTGTCAATATCAAGTACCCAAGTGAGTGATATGGGGTTGTCCATAAATGATGTCACATATGACGTGTCGGTATCATGAAAGGAGGTGAACGGGGAAAAATACCTTAGGTGGTTGACGGAGAACCTCTATAATGCTTTGTTCAATCAAAATAACGATAAATAAGCATTAATTTTTTTTGGACTTAAATTGAAATATGTTGACTGACTGGCTCTTAATTTCCGAATATATGTATCAAGATTCAGAACTATAATTTACTGTAATATAAGTGTCATCTTATCGTTTATTGTGCCTTTTATAAAGCGCAGAGCAGCTTCAAAATCGGACGGCCATCCTGTTTTCACCAAGCTTCTTTTGGAGCTTAATATGGGTAGTCTAGTTCTATACGGTGAGAGCTTAATACAATTTTTAAGGGCCGAAAGTCTCAAAACAGCAAGCTTGCAGAAATAACTACGTACGTTTAAATGGACAAGTGATAGATGTGTTAGTGGCTGTTTAATGAACACCAACTTATGTAATCAAATTAAACGTCGCTTAAACGTCAAAACGGTAGTGCTTGTTTTTTTTCTACAAAATTAGTCTAACGGTCGGCGGTACCGGTACATGACGTCACGCGCGAGCGTTAACTCGGTGACGATGTGCTAAGTGGGGGAATGAAAAGGTGGGGTTCAAGAAATGCGACTCAGCATGCTTTTTTACATTTCTTGACCCTTCTTAATAGTTCTATCGTTCCCCCCCCCCCCCCCCCTGAGAAAATGGATCACCAACGAATGACGCGTCATACTTCTACAGCTGGTCTTTCTCCCACAACCATTCCTTGTTTTCACGAAAAAAAAAACCTGACCCGTCTCCAAAATCACATCGCTGAGTTCTACTCAACCTCTCCCCACCACAAATCACAATTTCTATCTGAAACAATATGTTCATATGTTTGCTCTGTAATAATGCACGCTGTCATTACTATCTTAAGAACGACGTCATTTATGAGCGATCTAATATTGATTTGCTTACTGCAAATAAAGTGTTCAAAAGTTCGACCTCCCAACAATGGTTGTGGTCTTGGATGCACACTATTAAGTCTGAAAAGGTATATTAGTCATTCATGTCAACTATATTTTTTAAAAAAGAAAAATTACTATACAGGGGGTCATCCATAAATGACGTCACGCCTTTTTTGACGATTTTTACCTCTCCCCTCTGTCACACGTCGTCACAAAAAGCCAGACCCCCCCCTAAAATGACGTCACACCTCAGCCTACAACCCCCCTCAAAATTGCAGTTGAATTGTTTTTAAACAGCTATATTTTTCCAAAATCTTGTCTGAACTCCGTCAAAATAGAGTATTTTAATCAATTGTTAAAACAGTTTTCTAAAACGCAAAACAACGTCTAAAATTCGTTTTCTAACATTGCTTTTTTAAAATGCAAAAGTGTGACGTCGCACCATCTGAGCCCCCCCCCCCTCCCCCTCATCACACAACGTCACAAAATTACGGACCCCCCTCCCCCCTACGAGTGTGACGTCATTTATGGACGACCCCCAGTCATATATTAAAACAATACAAAACAATCATATTTAACCACAAAATCAACACAAAAGACATGCGAATAGACAATTTATTGTTTTTGAAACATGGCCGCTGCTTGTATTTACTCATTGTTGTCTCAAACGGGGTAGTTAGTTTATTCCAGGATATTTACGACTGGTTTGGTCTTGGATTGTGATTTGTTATTCAATTATCTGTTATATTATGTAAAATATGACATAAATATGGCCAAATGAAAGAAATATTCATTAGTTACCTTTATCGCACATTACTAGCTACGTTGGAATTTACGACGCTAAACTAAGATTTTACCCTACCTTTTATAACTTTTATTTGATGACTTAGGCCCATAAAGTTAAAGTTTCCAACAAAAAAATACGAGTTTTCCAGATTCTGCATAAATACAGTTATACTACTTCTCACTGTTGAACTAAAATTTAGTAAAATGGCTACAGTGGGCCTACCTGTTTTACTGTGACTGGATACAAAGTCTTTTGTTAAGAAAAATGGCGAAGCACCGGGATGCTGGCTTGCGAACAATAGGAAGGAATGTGAACAAAGGGACAATGGGCGACAGGGGGCCGGTGGCAGTAGCGCACACAATTTTAAAAAGATTAACAAAATGTTTAACACATGCAACGTAGTCTGTTATTGATGCTATGTTTACATTAGAGCATGATATTAAAAGATAAATTAATTTTAGTTAACATATATTAAGTTTAACAAGCATATTTAACTAAAATTTCTGCAGTGAATACATAAATCAGTGTAATCTTGGCAGCCAAGGTAAAAACGGTTAAATATCAAGGTATCAAGGGATGCAAGCATGTACAAATCTTGGCTGTACCCTGGCGTAAGCTTGTCCAATGTTTGGCCATGATTACAACATTGGGCCAAGCTTGGGCCCACAATGGTATTACATACTGTTGGTCTACAGCTATAGAAGAAATCTACGATTCTAGATGGTTGCGTGTATTCGTACTTCACTACAAATAGCCCTATGAAGGCTATACGTATCCTGACCCAGAGGCGTAGCGACCCTTCCCGGCGCCCGGGGACAAACTTTCAATTTGGCGCCCACTCGGGAGCAACCTTTCAATTTTCAATTTGCACCACCTCCCCCCTCAAACTTTCAATTTGCCCCCCCCCCCCTTCCATATATTTTTTATATTTATAATGCAAAACTACAGCTAAAATGAGATTTCAATTTGTTTTTCCAACCTATTTTGGCGCCCCCTAAGGTCGGCGCCCTGGGACATATGTACCCCCTCCCCTCGCTACGCCTCTGCTCTGACCAATAGGGCTGGTAAGTACGTCAATAAACAGTTCTATGGCTCATGCAGGTTTTATTGAGCCGTAGAACTGGTTGGTGACCTACTTACCAGCCCTTTCAGCGCGAGGCATTTTTCGGTGATTCTTTGATTTCCTTATTCATGCTAAGTAGAACTTTTTTTTAGATCTAACCTTATCATTTAACATAACTCTGCTTTGATTAAAGCTTATACATGTACCTGCACTTGGCATATATTTAAATTATAGGCCTATGTAGGCCGACATACACACACACATACTTTGTTTCGGGGGGGGGGGGTGACACCATTAAGTGCCGCACTGGGTGACACCCGACCTAGCGTCGCCACTGTGTACAAATGCCCTTAACTGTGTTTTTAAATGATGATTTCTGTTTTTGTAAATTAAAAACGAACAAAAATAATATTTATTTTATTTCAGTTTTTTTTTGTTTTGGTTCATATTTTGGACATTTTTTCCCCTTATAGTAATCAAGTATTAATACATACGATTATTTTGTAGCACCAATTTGCGCTGCGGTTATTTTTTTTTTTATTAATA